CGGGCTGTAGATTTCTATTTAGGCGGGGGGGGTTGTTACTTAAACCGATGTTTTATGTAATTTTTAAATGTGTGATCAGGCAACGCATCAGTACTCATATTCGCCAGCGTAGTTTTGTATTACAAACGTTTGCTTATTTTGCTCTAGAAACTCGATCTAAACAGACCCTGGTGGGCAAAAGCCATGGGTCTGTCTGCGTCCTCCCCGGCTGCTGCGGGTCAGTCGCCAAATGCGCCCAAGCAACATCACACGGCGTCTCTGCCTTCAGAATGTCCTATGCACCAGGAAAAAATGAGTGGTAATTGTTCTTGAAACTTAAATGAAATAAACTCTTTACACGGAAAACGATTGACAAATACTTGAAAAAAAAACCCAAACACGATTCTGCAAATAAAAATTTGAGTTTCCCCTTTAGCAAAAATAGGTTTCATGAAAAGGAGTCAGATGTTCACCAGAACAACATGCAAGCTGTTCTGTCTATAGAGACAGTAGGTGCTTGCTGTAGAACCTGTGGGTTGCTCCCAGTTGTCATGTTTCACAAGGGTCCTGCAAATCTGTTCCCATCGAGTGGTACACACACAAAGGGTCAGGGAGGTGCAGGGGCCCCTACAAAAGTGGTAACTGGGAGCAGGTGGTTGTTGCTGGAGAACACACATCTGGAAAAGGGCAGCAGAAGGGTGGGATAAGATGAATGTCTGGAGAAGAACATCAGCTCTTCCATTAACACAATCAACACATGTTGGATTAAGGTTGCTGTGGAAATCTTAGCTACGGACAGTTCAGTGTAGGGGTGGGGAATGAGCATTCAAGGACTACATAAGAATTTTAGGTCTTACCATGGTGCTGGGTCCTAAAATAGGCAGGAAAGAGAATGGTTAAAACAGCTGCCAAGTGCAGAAGAAAAAGTGAAATACCGGTTTCTATTTACGTCAACTGCTCATTCAGTGAACTGTTCCCCACTCCTGTCATGTCACCATTTTATAGCAAAAGATAAACTATTTTTTCCTGTTTCTCAGGTTGTCCAATGCACATGAAGACTCCTGATCACAGAACTGAGAACACAGATGATGTTCCTGCACATCAGGAAAGAGCGTATGAATTTGTAGCATGTCCGGTGACATCTGGTGCATCTCAAGTGAAAGATGACATAGATCCTAGCAACATGGTAACTTTTGCTTAGTTCAGATGTTTTCTTCAGTTTTGTTTCTCCTGAAATACTATCCCCAAAATGTAAATAGTGATACTGTCGAAGGTGGAAACTTTGTCAGTTAGAGTTATTTTTTAATTTTTAAGACTGCTTTTTCTCATTTTGTATGCAAATATTTCTATTTAACCACATGACATCTTATTTAACATTCTCTTATTCAAATGTACATCTTTTTGGTAGAAGATGTTTTTTCAGTTTGTAAGTATCTTTTGGTGTGGATTTCTCTTTGTTAGTTATATGCATGGTCTTTATGCTATATTAGTGGTTTCTAGGTTCTGTGCAAAAGTAGTACGGGTAAATTCTGATCCGGATCTCTCCAAGATTTCCTCTGATTTACAAAAAGCACTGCTGTTTTGAAAGTTGAAGCTTAGGCAAAAGGGACATTAGTCTTCAGATGATAAAGTTGTGCAAAGAGCTTTACTGCAAAAGAGAAAGATATGGACTGAAGGCTGAACTTCTTGATCTGTGTAGCAGCTGATTAATTAGGCTCTGATTTTTCTTGAACACTGTTCCTGCTCTAGTTTGTTGTTGATTCTTCTTGTTTTCTAGATGCCTCCTCCTAATCAGCAGCCATCCCCAGATCAACCGTTTCCATTGTCAACTGTTAGAGAAGAATCTTCCATTCCTAGAGCGCATTCTGACAAGAAATGGGTCTACCCTTCAGAGCAAATGTTCTGGAATGCTATGCTAAGAAAAGGGTAAATACACTTTGAATTATCAGATGGAATCTTGAGGGTCTGAAATTCACGAAGGAGTATCATTATTTATTATTCATCAATATTATTTAAGAGTTTGTGGGCTCTAAGCAGGAAATAATTAACTAGCTCTTTAAAAAAATTACTATTTTCATAAAGAGCTTTATTTTAAAGGATGAGATGGTGACAAAGGCCTTGTCTCCTAGTGATCAGCAAGATGATAGGGAATGTCAGGCAACTGCCACTAGCTCAGAAAATTTTCTTAAAAGTCAGCCCATAGGCACAGATAAACGTTGCACGATTGCCAGCTTTCAAACTCAATTGTCTTCATGCTGATGCTATAAACTGGTAGTAGAAGTTCTATGATTGTGAGAACATCTAACTTGAGTTTGCAAAATGTCTGAAAATGTGAGAATTGTTTGACAAGTAGGTGTTTTCAGTCTACAAAAATTCAGTGTAGGCAAGATCTAAGTGAGTGATAGATGTGTCCTGTGGCCTAAAAAACCTTCTGTCCTGCTGTTTCCCCATTCTTTTGTAATTATTTGTTTGTCATTCTCAAACAGATCAACTTTTAAGTCAGTTACTATTAAAACAACAGTAATTCTTTGTTCTACATACCAATATTGTTCTTAAGACAGTATGTCTTAAGCAGTCTATATTGAACACACAAGTTCTGATCCTGTAAACACTTAAATGTGTTCAATGTCGTGCCTGTTGAAAAGGAAGCGCACGCATAGTCACAGTGCAGGGTCAGAGAGATGAAAGGCATTTCTAAGCCTATGCAAAATGTGTTAAATACAGGAATTCTGTGCATTAGGAATGCAAGTGGTATTTTTTCTAAACATTTTTACAAATACTGTGGATGTACGGATGTTTGCACACTCGGATAACTTTCTGGTCCAGTTAAGCTGTTAAATTAGCCAACTAGAATTTGTGGATCTCTTTGATGATAACTTCGATAACTACACTTTTACACAGAAAATGAAGTGGTTCTCAAGATGCTTAAGCAGATGAACCAGAAGTTTCCATGCTTGCTTTGTGTCTTTGCATAAAACCTTAGATCTCTTGATTCAAAAGACCATCAGGTAAACTGAGGAAGGTGGAGTAGTTACACTGTAATGCTTAGAAACAGTTTTCAAATTCTTATTTTTTAGGTGGAGGTGGAAAGATGATGACATAACAGGTGAAGACATGACCAATATCATTAAGATTCACAACCAAAATAATGAGCAAGCTTGGAAGGAGATTTTGAAGTGGGAAGCTCTTCATGCTGGGTACATACATATGAAATGAAAAGCAAATCCTTTGGTTTAGCTCTTGCTTTTGTAATTCTTTTAAAGTATAGAATGTCTCTTTAGTTTTTGCAGAAATATTCTGGTGCTGATATGTCCCAAAAGTTACAGTCTTGTAGGAGCCTGCATTTTGATTAGTATGGAGAAAGTTTATCCAGAAGAGCTTAACTAGAACTGAATAATTACTATGTTGATAAAACTCATGAGCATTTTGGTGGTGTGTGTATAATGTGGATTTGGAGAAATTAACTTCTTATTTTATCTGTTTGGGAATTATTTAATGGAAATGTTTATGTTATGAAAAAGATAAGAGATGTAAAAGACTAAGATTGACTGGTGTAAAACAAACTCTGTCACTTTTTAGGTCAGTATAGTCCCTGTTCCTAGAAGAGAGAAACCAGTTAAGCATTCTGTATGTAGAAATTGTTCTCTGAAATTCCATGACCTTTGTTACACAGTAGTTTGGATTACAGTTTTCTATTCTTTAATCCATTAAATACGTGGATTAGATTTGCTGCGAACTGCTCTGTTGCTAAGTTAGAACAATGTTGTGGAGCATATCAAAGGTACTTTGTCATACCAGCAAGTGCTGTCAGCAGCTTGGGAACTTTTCAAACCTTTAAAAAAAAAAAAAAAAAAAAAAAAGCTGGTTTAGATCAATTGTAGTTCATTTTTTACTGTTGCTCTTTCTCTTACTCATTTTTTCTATTACTAAAACAAATTACCATATTGGTTTAAACACTTAAAACAAGACTGTTTTAAAAGGTAAAAGCTACTTTCTTTTTTAATTGTTTGCACAGGGAATGTCCATGTGGACCGTCACTGATGCGGTTTGGAGGCAAAGCAAAGGAATATTCACCAAGAGCCAGAATACGTTCATGGATGGGGTACGTGGGCAGGAAAGAAGGTCTTCCAGTGAGGTGGGAGGGTAGGGAGACGTGTCTGAAAACATGGTGTAGAATTGATTTTAAGATGTTCCAGAACTGGAGTTGCAAGTTATAATTACCAGAAGATAAAAGTACTAGTGGGGATCTTACGCCAGTATCTGGATAAATAAATATTCTTAAATAAGACTTCCGCTCCCTCTCCCAGGTTCATAGTATCCATTAAAATATGCCTATGATCTGTTATCTGTCTTTCCAGATATGAACTTCCCTTTGACAGACATGATTGGATTGTTGACCGATGCGGAAAAGAAGTGCGATACGTTATTGATTACTATGATGGTGGAGCAGTAGATAAGAACTACCAGTTCACTATCCTGGATGTTCGCCCTGCATTTGATTCTCTCTCGGCTGTATGGGACAGAATGAAGGTAGCTTGGTGGCGGTGGACTTCATAACTATTCCTGTGGTGTGTAGTCGAAAAGTAAACCACTTTCCTCCTAGACGAAGGATAAGTGAATAGTAGGACTTGAAACAGAAGTTCACTGCAACTGTCATTATTTTCATCATCACCACTGTTCTTTGGGGTGGGAAGGGAGGATGGGGAGATCTGTTGTGAAGTACACTGGTGCTTTATGGTGTTTTGAGTTAAATAATAAAGTTATAGTAGCAAAACCATTTATATTAATTTCCTTAAGAGCTGGAAAATCTTTTCTTATTTTGTCACAGATTCTGCGTAAGCTTGCCTTCTTTTAATTTCTTGACTCCAGAGCTGCACCAAATACATTGGGTTTCTGATTCTGACTGGAGTTTTGAGTATGCTTAAATAGTGAAAACTGGAAATCTCATTAATGTTTTCATATAGTTCCAGTGTTTGGATACTTTAGATGATGAATAAAGGGTAAAAGATCTGGACTGTTTCAAATGGCATGTGTTATTAACTATATAAACCCATGTATTTGTTTTCACATGGGCACTTTACCTGTTCAAATACATGCTTCCTCAGAAAACTTTTGTCAAGTTTATTCTGTTAAAGGAGGTAAGTGTAGTATGAGCGTTTTTACAGGTATGTTGAGTTGAAAATGAAGAGAACACACTCATGCCTTAATCTGCAAGTTATCTTTGAACATCTGTTAGAAGCAGGAAATGAGTGTCAGTTACTTCTAAAACATTTCTAAAAGGAGATAAAATTGATATTTAATGGCTATTTATTTGAGTATTTAAAAGGTTTGTTTTCTGATGTAAGAAAACTATATTCTTTTAGTATTTTCATGTCCTTAATATGCATCTCAAGTAATGCATTCAGGAGAGAATTAAGCCTTGTTTAAAGAAACTCATGCAGTGTGTCTGTATTTTGCATCTTGGCTTTATCAACTGTACTGTAGCAGGTGTTTTTTGTTTTTTATAATACAGAATCGCACAAGGTTGTATGACTACGCAGTCATACACATTTCTGCATAGTGATGCATATTACAGATTTGTATATAATTTGGCTAAAAGGGTATCAAAAGTGCCAAGAAATAAGGTGGTTGTGTTTTCCAAGAGTGATGCATGTTAATGCTGATCTGATAATTGTGCTTAATAAGGGAAACTAACTTTTTTTTTTTTTTAAGTCTTCCACTGTAATGGCTTTAAATTTGCATGGCTTGGTAAATTTCAGATGCCACATACCCCTAAATTTAAATTATTCCTCCCTTTCAGCATATATTACTCTGGAGAATGAGTCCTCCATGCAAAACACTTGGGAATGGAAGGAATAAGAGAGTATCACATTGTAGCTTCTCAAATGGGAGAAGCTTCCTTCATGAAACTTCACAACCTTAGCTGGGAGCCAGTTGTACATTCATTTTTTGAAAGTAGCTATTTTTAACTGACATTGGAAGCTTTTTTTTTTTTTCCCCCTGTCTGAGGGCAAAACCCCTCAATGTTTCAGTCAAGTAAATTCCCCTTTAGGAAAAAAAACCTCAGGGAAGCTGCCATGGTTCCCACTTCAGAGGCAACTGTCCTGCATGGTAGGAATAAATATTACCCAGAAGTCCAGAATCCCAAGAAAAAAACACTCTCTTACCCCTATCCACTTTCCTCATTCCTTTTCACCCTTTTAGTGATTTTTATATATATACATAAAAAAATGAGAAATAGTTTTGGGCAAAAAAATAATAATCTCCATCTGAGCAGGCAATGTATATATGAGATTTATGAGAAGTCTGTGAGCTTGTATGAAGCATATCTGATAATGAAAGAGCTGCTCCTCTCTGTTCTAACAGCGAAGACTGAGGCTTACTTTTTGCAGTGAGTTTTTTTGGTTGGTTTATGTATATACGTTTGGTAACTTGATATACGCAGAGTTCTGTATTTCTCACAACTAAATATGGGAAAGGTGCACCAATGTAAGGAGTGCTTCAGAAGCTTCAAAAGAGCGAGTTTGCGTTGTTGGTTTCAGAAGTGTGATGTTGAGTGCATTATGGAAATTGTAAGTGCTGCTAAATCTGGTGAAAACTGTCACATGCCACTTCATGCGTTTACCGTCTTCTGTTATGTTCCATCTCGCATAAATTCAAAATTGTTCCTTTCTGTGCTACTGTTAATGAAATGTACTACTTTGTCATCAAACAAAAAGGAGAATCAAATAAATATACTTTTCTTAACTTTGGTATTTGGTGATCATATTTTTAGCTGTAAAAATTACTAAGATGAACTTTTGCATGTGTCATAGAGATTATAGTCTAATACAACTAATCACATCTTTGAATACATACTACTCATTTATTTAGGTGAATACAGAACCAAAAACCAAGGACTAAATTCAAGTCTCTGCCAACTAAACCAGCAGCTCTCAGAATAACAACAAAATGACAACAAATGTATTCATCCTGAGTCTGGCTAACTTCTGAAAAGAGGAGGGCAAGGATTTTGGTTTTTGGTTTTAAATAATCCTTGAAGTGTAAATGAAAATCACTTCTAAGGAGTAAGACTTAAGGAAGTAAACATGGAGTTTTCTCTTTTAGGTTTGGGTTACTTTATGCATAGTGTTGGCAGTTTGCTATTTCTCAGAAGATGGATGCCAGAGTGATTAGAATTCTAATGTAAACTTGAAAAACAGTGATTTAAATTGATGTTTTTTACCCTTTGGGAGGATGTTTTAACTGTAAAACTTGTTTATGCTAGATGAAAGGGGGGGAGGTGGTGTATGCATAAATAAATACATTCATATCCTTTCTTTGTCAGTACAGAAAGGTACGAGAGTTCACAAAGCTCCAAAAAGTGGAGAAGTATCCTGATGAGGCCCTCCAGGGAATTCTGCAGCAGCATCAGGTTCCCAGTCCCAGTCAGGCCGAAACAGAAGTTTGGAATCCAGCATCTCAAACCAGGTTAACCTTGTGCACATGCAAAAGGGGAAATGCAGGCGCTGTCACTAAAGCAGGGCCACTTTTTAAATCAGTTGTGTGTTTAGGTATTGAAAATTCACTTATGTTCTGCTTTACCCTGTCAGAGCCCTGCTTGACCTACTGTGTTTGACTCTTGCAGTTAAAACAAGTTAGGAGAGTACTCCTCATCTGCAGCTGAAGATGTGTTCTTCAAGGATATTACGGTGCTCAGAAACTGCAATCTCTGTGACTGATCGATGGAAAATGACTGAGGCATAACACTCCGATGGTAATCGGGTCTTGGGTCATATATATGTAGTCAGGAGTGGTACTGATCTTTGTTACCTGGAGCAGGAGACCATTCTGCATTCAAATACCTGGTTTTGGCTTCTTGCTGTTGCATCGCTTCAGGCAGCCACTGACAACCCTGCAGTTAGGGTGCCTGCCACCATGTTGCCAGTCCAGTGGGGCACCGAATGTGTGGTTGCTGTGCCTACAACACCCTCCCTGCTCAGTAACATTGGCCCATCTCTCTGCTCTTCTGCAGTACGCCCCGTTAGTATCTGGCCAACATGAGTGCCCTGTAATTAGGAAGTAATTCACAGGCTTGTCCTAGGAAGCCTGGCGATCCTGGCTATCTTGAGTCATCCTATGACATTTTGCCCTTGCATTGTACTGGCAGGCAGTTTGGAAAGGGGAGCTGTAGCTCTTCTGTCACCCTTTCTTTCTTTCATTTATTTATTCCCCTCTACCCTAGAAACAACTTTGCTCCTCCCTTTCATTTTATGCCAGTGGTCCTGGCTTCAACCTCTTTAACAATTTTTCAGCTAAGCCCTAGAATTTCTGCACTGCTTTGCTGTAGAAGAAAGAGACTGTGTTGCTGGTAAGAAGGTATTTGTGTCCATTGTTGATTATTGCTATTGCTATTTTTTACTGCTAAAGCAAAGTGTTCTGGATTACCATTTTTGAATTATGATGTGAAAAAGGAATGCTAGTTTAGTGTGAAGTGGGACAATGGTGTCTAGTGTTTACATAATGTATTTATTATCAAGACTTCATTGTGCTCCGTAAATAATTATTTAAAGTCTAAAATACGATAATGAATATTGTTCTGTCTCCAAAAGGTGTGAGAGTGGCAAAGGATCTCTCGGTGCTCTAAAAATGATCATAAATAGTCTGTCGTTACGCATTCCCATTTTGTTTATTCAACTCTTGTGTCAAAAGTGTGGGGGAATAATAGCTAATGTGCTGAAGTTCAAAAGATGGAGGCACAGACACTAAGGTTGCTGTAGCTCAGCAGATAAAAATGAAGAGAACTGGTAAACTAAGGAGCACTGCCTTGGTTTTAGACTCTTACTAATGTTGTCTTTTTTATAGAGGGTAGAAATGGCCCTTTCAAAAATGCCACTCCTTTACTTTTTAAAGAGATCTGTCCCCAGCATTTACTAAATTAAATGACACTTTAATCCTTTGTCTCCCTTTGCTTACACCTGGAGGAAAGTCCACGTAGTGAAGTTCCATGAGCAGATGTACCTGGTGTGGAAGCTGAACTTACTTTGAGTATAGAATACGCTACTCATAATGTTAGCTGTGCTTACGTCTTCAGTATCACGCCCTTCCCTACCCACAAGTATCTTATATACGTTCTTTTTAAAAATACACAGCATTGCTAGTTCTGTACAAATTTTTAGTAGGCAACTTCATGCATTTTTACTCTCACTGAAAGAAAATGCATTCTTTCTATTATTCTATCTTACTTTGTACAAGGTAAATTGCAGGCAAAGATCTATATGCAGTAAATCACGTAAGCATTGATTCTCTTGGCAATGTTAGTAATAATAGGAACTTATGGTCATACTAGATATGTCATTTTGTAAAAAGCATCCTTTTTAGTTTGCATTAGATGGTTAATCACTTTTATGCGTGTCTCCTTCAAGAAAAAATGGCTTGCCAAACTCCTAGAGAAAGAATCTTAAATTCTTTTATGAATGTGACAGTTGCATCTATTTGGTCTTACTACTTGTACATCACATTGTATAGAAACCTGTGGGCACAGTACTAGCCTTGACTCCAAACCTTGTGGCCCTGAGCATATGTGAAATGATGCATTATTGACCAGTGAACTACTGATTCCAATGGCACTGCTCACAAGACACGTCTGCGTATTTGCAGCATGGGTACCTATTTTTATGACTGGAGTCTGAATGAATCCAATTTTCAAAGGATAATGTAAATTTATTGGAAGTATGGGGATTGTTATTAGGACTCATTAAAAAAAATCTAAAAGAATAGGTAGTCTCTT